ATATCGGATCCGTCGAGCAGTTGATCCACGAATGACTTGAGCAACAGAGCTATCACTTTGGTGTCCACACACTGTTTGCCCTCCAGTTGTCTTAATATGGAGTCGCGCTTGTCTTTCATGGTCTTGACGAGCGCTGACACACATGTGATCACTTCGCCGAAGTTTCCCGACATGTCTTGTGGTGTGGATTAAGCGACAAATCAATTAAATCATCGATAAATGCATTAATAAATAGCGAAAACGAGTCAACGTTTGCAGCGCTGGTGTCAACACTTGAACGGCTTATGGCTTCAGTCGAGTTCATTGCTATAGCACTGCAATGCATGGCTTGGCTGTAGGGGTGGACTACTGTCCATAGAGTTATACCATATAGTGTACAACTGTCCATAGAGTTATACCATATAGTGTACAACTGTCCATAGAGTTATACCATATAGTGTACAACTGTCCATAGAGTTATACCATATAGTGTACAACTGTTACACAAACCGAAATGAACTTTGTTTGCAAACCATGTTTTTACTCGAGTTTTCATTTAGTTTACATTTAGTTGTAATTGAAAAACTTTTATTTCATTCATAGACATATTAAATATCACAAATATACAGTATATAATTTGTTTGTTAAATATTTGTACACCAGTTATAGTGCTGTATATACAGTAAACTTTGTTCTCATGTTAGTCTAACAATATAAGTAACTATCAGTATGATACAATTCTAATAGCAATTAGTTTACAAATAGTTTTACCGTAGAAATTAATTTATTAACTATATACAGTATATAATATATCTGATCAATGATTGAAAATATATGAATTAACATAATAATGATTAATGGATAATGGGTTCAAATGGCATGTCCTTCGAGTGGACTGACATTTGAATGGTGTCCACAAAGCATATGTTGTCTCAGATCTAATTGATTAGAGTATAGTCTATGACAATTGGGAACAACACAACCGATGAGTACTTCATTTTTGGCACAATTAGACTCTTTGCTCATGAGTTCATCATATTCTCGCTTATGTGTCAACAAGTGTTTCCTCAGATTACCGGCTAATTTGCCACGAATTCCCTTTGATTTACAGTTTGTCACCAAACAGTAGGCAATGTTTGCCATCGAGTCGTACGCAAAGAACTTCCAGACAGACGACTCGTACTTCCGGCCGATGGACGAGCGCCGGTTCGGGTACACGACATCCGCCGCCGTCTCGTCCCTCGGAGTGGACACCAAATAATCGTTCACTTCATACAATTGAAAACTTCTCTCCTCAGCACCGGTACTCATATCCTGCGAATCCATTGAACACTTGTTCAGCACTTTCTTATTGTGAGTGATATTCAGCTCCAATCGGTTGACGGCTTTCATGAACTGCTGGAACTGTTTGTGATGTTTGCGTAAATGCCTCTTCAGATTACCCGCGAGTTTGCCTTTAATACCCTTAGATGTGCACTCATTCACCAAACAATGGGTGATATTAGTGTCCGAGTCGTACCGGAAGTACTTCCACACCAGTGACCGACAGTGTCGGCCCGCTTTCGACTCGAACTCAACCGATTTGGACAACTCATGGCATCTGATGACACCGTTTTCCCCATAAGAGTCCGAATAGGAGTTGTCTTCGCTGTTGTAGTCATCGTTATCTTCAGACTCTATTCCTCGGGAGTTGTCAATGGATAACGTCTGCACACATTGCACGCCATCCGAGTATCTATTATCACACAATTCATGTCCATTCAGATGACAATAATCTCTATGTTTCGTAACAATTACCTGTTGTCTGCACTTTCATTGCCATTCACCAGTGGTTTAGTATCTTCACTAATGCTATCGTTTTGTGGACCCGATTGGTGGACATGTCTTAAGCAAAGACTATATTAGTATTTAGTATTAATATATGACTAATAGTTTGATACCCATTAGCGGTGTCTTTATTTGTTTGATCACTATTTGAGAGCAATTGTGTGGCAAAAATGAATAGATTATTGTTATTGGCGTTCATCTGAACGGATCCATGGCTTGACGATTGGGTGTCATTGTCATCGGTGTGGATGTGCTCTTCGCCACACGTGGTGTCTGTCAGTTGTCTCAACTGATCCGTCAATTTAGTGATTTGTCTCACTTTCCACTCAATTATCGACTTATAGCTGTTGTTCACTAATTTCAAGTCACTTATCAATTGGTCTCTTACGGTGACATCGCTTACCAATTGAGACAATTGGTGGCAAATACTGTCCACCAGTTCCTCACAGTCAGACTCATTCATCGCTCAATCAATGCATGCATTCATTAACACTAAACATAATATTCATTGCATTTGTGTTTAACAATCAAATCACTGCTAATCCAGTCATTCATTCATTGAACACAATGTTATGCAATGTGTTTACAATGGACTCTCACGTCACACATGTTCACCAATTATGTCCACTTTATAACACTACTCATTGAACCATATTATGCAACATTATGCTTATTATTTNGGTTCAAATGGCATGTCCTTCGAGTGGACTGACATTTGAATGGTGTCCACAAAGCATATGTTGTCTCAGATCTAATTGATTAGAGTATAGTCTATGACAATTGGGAACAACACAACCGATGAGTACTTCATTTTTGGCACAATTAGACTCTTTGCTCATGAGTTCATCATATTCTCGCTTATGTGTCAACAAGTGTTTCCTCAGATTACCGGCTAATTTGCCACGAATTCCCTTTGATTTACAGTTTGTCACCAAACAGTAGGCAATGTTTGCCATCGAGTCGTACGCAAAGAACTTCCAGACAGACGACTCGTACTTCCGGCCGATGGACGAGCGCCGGTTCGGGTACACGACATCCGCCGCCGTCTCGTCCCTCGGAGTGGACACCAAATAATCGTTCACTTCATACAATTGAAAACTTCTCTCCTCAGCACCGGTACTCATATCCTGCGAATCCATTGAACACTTGTTCAGCACTTTCTTATTGTGAGTGATATTCAGCTCCAATCGGTTGACGGCTTTCATGAACTGCTGGAACTGTTTGTGATGTTTGCGTAAATGCCTCTTCAGATTACCCGCGAGTTTGCCTTTAATACCCTTAGATGTGCACTCATTCACCAAACAATGGGTGATATTAGTGTCCGAGTCGTACCGGAAGTACTTCCACACCAGTGACCGACAGTGTCGGCCCGCTTTCGACTCGAACTCAACCGATTTGGACAACTCATGGCATCTGATGACACCGTTTTCCCCATAAGAGTCCGAATAGGAGTTGTCTTCGCTGTTGTAGTCATCGTTATCTTCAGACTCTATTCCTCGGGAGTTGTCAATGGATAACGTCTGCACACATTGCACGCCATCCGAGTATCTATTATCACACAATTCATGTCCATTCAGATGACAATAATCTCTATGTTTCGTAACAATTACCTGTTGTCTGCACTTTCATTGCCATTCACCAGTGGTTTAGTATCTTCACTAATGCTATCGTTTTGTGGACCCGATTGGTGGACATGTCTTAAGCAAAGACTATATTAGTATTTAGTATTAATATATGACTAATAGTTTGATACCCATTAGCGGTGTCTTTATTTGTTTGATCACTATTTGAGAGCAATTGTGTGGCAAAAATGAATAGATTATTGTTATTGGCGTTCATCTGAACGGATCCATGGCTTGACGATTGGGTGTCATTGTCATCGGTGTGGATGTGCTCTTCGCCACACGTCGTGTCTGTCAGTTGTCTCAACTGATCCGTTAATTTAGTGATTTGTCTCACTTTCCACTCAATTATCGACTTATAGCTGTTGTTCACTAATTTCAAGTCACTTATCAATTGGTCTCTTACGGTGACATCGCTTACCAATTGAGACAATTGGTGGCAAATACTGTCCACCAGTTCCTCACAGTCAGACTCATTCATCGCTCAATCAATGCATGCATTCATTAACACTAAACATAATATTCATTGCATTTGTGTTTAACAATCAAATCACTGCTAATCCAGTCATTCATTCATTGAACACAATGTTATGCAATGTGTTTACAATGGACTCTCACGTCACACATGTTCACCAATTATGTCCACTTTATAACACTACTCATTGAACCATATTATGCAACATTATGCTTATTATTTATATAAATTTAGTTACAATATTATTTGGCAAATATTTTATTC